ACACACACACACACACACACACACTGAGCGTTAGAGAGCCATTCTGCTCCCCTCCCTTGTTTGTTTTAATTCATTATTTATTTAAAATACTTTTACTCTGCCTTTCTCCTTAAAAAGAATCCATGGTGGCTCACATCCTTGAAAAACAATTTTTAAATCTGAAAACAATGAGGATACCATGGTTTACATCATTAAAAGGCAATATTTAAAGCTAGGAACAATGAGTATAAACCAGTTCCCTTCTTGCAGTGCACAAGGGCAGAAAGAATGTCATGGTTGAGAGAGAAAGATCCCAGACTGAGAAGGTTCCCCAACGAGTTCCATATGAGGCAAAAACAAAAGATTTTTTTAAAAAAAGATGAAAGCAGTGTGGCATCCTAAAAGACTATTCTATTTTAATGTAAGTTTTCATGGACCTTCTTAAGCCACCTTATCAGGCATATGAGGCAGAAAACCGGGATTAAGATGGTAAAACCTTCACGCTGCACTCTTAAGAGCCATTGGTGTCTGATTACTGAAGATGGAGTTCCAGTTGCGTAGATAAATTCTCCCAATCACAATACTTTAGTCCCACAAAGGGGAAATTAATAAAAAAATAATAATAGAACTACAAGGTGCTATGCAAAAAAAAGGTTAATTGAAAAAAGGAGGCAATACACTTGGCAGAAGAGGGGTTTGGATCTGCTATATAATTTAGGCCTGACAAAATCTTCACAAAACTATCCCTGCCCGCCCCTCTTGACACTTGATCCTAGCATAAACTCAAAATGCTTTCTATATTTTCATCTATTTTTGTTACAATTCTTGCAACAACGCTTTAAAAGGAATTATGTTTCAAAAAGAAGATAACAACTGTAGCGCAGGGAGGGAGAGAGAGAAAAACCAGGTATAAATAAAAGAAATATGTAACAAGTAACAGGAAAGGATTAATTTCCAAATGTAACTTTCCAAGCTGTATTAAACAAGGCTGTGTGGCATTTCCCTTTGGGGGCTGCTGTTGTGGCCCAGCAGGTAGCCTAGATCTGCATGTGATTCTTTGCTTATTTATGAAGCCTTTCATCTAACATCATGTGCCACAGCTAGGACTTTTTGGCCAACTTCATCATGGAATCAAGCAGACTAGTGAGGAAACAGCCAATGTTTTATGGAGGTCACCTCTTCCCAAGGGGCTCTGGCTGGATTTTAGTGTGGGGAATCCAGTAAGAAGAAGCCTCACACGACTCTTTGAGGCTTTATGGTGTGGCAACTCCACTTTACCTGAGAACAGCACCCAATACTAGGTATGTCAGAGGTGGGCGGGGGTGTCCCCTGATTGCATGGTGCAAACACAGACCACAAAGTGCAATTTCCACTTCTAGAACCCTTAATTTCTGCAGTGTGGTCTGTTTCACGACAGTTTCCATGTACCACCAACAAGAAAAACAAATGGGTCCTTGATCGAATCAAGTCCAAACTCACCCAGAAGCCAAAAATAAATAAATAAATAAGGAAGAAGAAGCTACTGTATTTTGGGCACTTTGTGAGAAGACTCACTATAAAAAAAGTTGCACAGTGCTGGGAAAAGTTGAAGGCAGTTAGAGAAGAAGACCACGCTGAGGTGGATTGACTTTGTAAAGGAAGCTGGCAAGACATGGCGAGAGCTGTTAATGAGAAGACCTTTGGGAAATCACCATAAGTCAGAGCAACTTCACTCCACATAACAACAAATGTTTCACTGATCCTTCAGCAAGAGTCGAGCAGTTAAAGCTTCAGAGTCCTGTAAGCATGCAGAGGCCCATCTTACAAAGGATGCAAAAGGAAAGTGGCTGGAAAGGGGCCTTTTTGCTCTGGACAGGTGTCTGCAAAGGCTGTTCCTTTTCTGGGTTTCCTGCCTTCAACAGGGTGTCGCACAGGACAAGCCTGCAAGGCCCCCTCCAGCTCTATGACAAAGTGGCCCTCCTCTGCCTCTTTCCACGACAATGAACCTGCATCAGAGGTAGGAGAGACGGTCCATCTCTCACACCTCCACACTGCTGGGAAGAGTTACTTTGGACTACAGCCCCCAGGATCCCCTAGCCAGCACACTCACAGCACTGACAAGAAGATGGCAAAAACCTTGGAAAGCGGCCAGGAGAAGGGCACAAGACTTGTGACTGCCAGAAGTGATTCTAAAACATGACTCACTGCATCAGTAATGTTGTGTTTTGTTTTGTTTTTTGCATCCACTTGTGACTGCCAGAAGTGATTCTAAAACATGGCTCACTGCATCAGTAATTTTTTTTTTGCATCCACCTGTTCACATGGCTTCTGAAGCGTATCTTCATTAGACCCTCATTACATAAAGAGGGTGTAACTCTTAACCAGGTACCTGTGCTGCTAATCCTTCTGGCTGGGGGACTCTGGGATTTCAGAAAGAGCATCTTAAACCGCACTGCTCTCTTCATGCCCACCTAGCCCACCCTTCCCACAGCCCCCTGTGGTGGGTACCTGCTTTCTTCCCAGTCACGGGGCTTTTTCGTTTCGTTGGGCTTGATGCAGCGGATGTAGTGAGGAGTGCATTTCATCAGAGTGCCCACGAGGTCATTGGCTTGCTTCTGCAAAAAAGTAAAAGGAACCATCAGCCGGCTGCTCCTAATGCACCACTTCCTAACAGGCAACAAATGTGCCCCTTTTAAAGAATTAGACGGTAATTTTGCTCCATCAGAGAGAGAGAGAGAGGCGCTCTCAGGAGGATCTGTTCAGCTTATAACCGCTAATGCATAGTGAGCAACACTTGGTTGACCCTGACCCTGTGGAGAGAAAAGAAGGCTTTCAGATGGATGGTGACCTACAGCAGGCTGTCCTGAAAGCTTTGGATGAATTCCAACGTTGCCGTTGCATCAGAGGCCTGGCAGAAGAAGCTGTAGGTGAGCCCTGCACTCTGGATTTCCCCAGAGGAGTGTCCTAGCCAGCTCTGGGGAGGAGATGTGACCTCCCTGAGGGGAGAAGCAACACTTTTGTATTTCACATGAGCCCTGCCCAAGCTTTCTCCAGTAAACCTGAGAAAGAAGGTACATGTCAATAGCACAACAGCCCTGTGAGCTACGCCAGGCTGAGATGGTAGGACTGGTCAAAATGTGAGTTTCACAGTTTAGTGGAGGCTTGAAACAGGACCTTCAGCATCCCAGTCCAAGCCTCTAAGCAGGAGTGGGCAAACAGCAGTCCCCTGGATCTTTCTGGACATCAAATCCCATCATCCAGCAGTTGCCCCTCTCTGCTCCAATCACTGCATTGCATGTGACACATGAGGCACCATAATACTGATAATACCTGCCCAGCAGGAAATTTAGTAAAATCCTCCCTCCTGTTTTTAAATGGGACTTGAGAAGTGACAGAAGGGATCTCAGATATTCTTGTGGTCATGTCTCCGTAGCATCCCCATCACTGTCAAGTGACTAAAGCCCTGGACTGACCTATATTTAAAAAATTAAAAAAAACCCTAAATGTACCTTGATTTTGCTTCCAGCAGTCGTAGGTCGACCTTTCTTGTCAGGCTGGAGGCTCTCCGGAAACAGTGCCTTTATAAAAGGCCTAGGAGGAAAAGGAAGCAGGGAGAAGAGGATTCAAGAGAAAGTGGCAGGAGAGAGAAAAAACAGGTCAACGCAAAGTCATAATGCGAAAGGCAGGTCTGGGAAGAAGGGAAGGACAGAGAGCAAGCACATTGAGCCCGTGGAGCCATGCCCCTTGGCAGCAGAGGCCTCACTTCCTCTCCACTGGCTAGCCTATACAGACATCTGACCTGTGCAGTCAATGGGGAAAGAAACCCATCTCAGCCTGCAGACTGTGACTCCACAGCTGTGCAGTGAAGAAGTGGGGAGACCCTCTCTAATGAACTGGGGAACACGCCACAAGCTCCTCCTTCGGCTTCAGCCTGAATTTCCCTTTGAGGAGCAGTGTGGAGTTCCAGCAGAAGCAGTAAGTGTATGGAACAGGATTTTTCTTCTTTGAGACCTTCACTTGCTGTGTGCATTCCACTTTCCAACACAGAAGTGACAGCACAGCTCTAAGCACTTGGCAGCAGCTTCACAGGCACCCTCCCCTTTCGCCCTCCCACACACAGCTCTCCCACCTTCCCTTATTTTTCCTGTGCATGTTTTCACCTTCTTTGTCCAGTTCGGAATGCAGCTGGTGGGATGCAGCTGTCCTCTTTCCAGCACATGCCCACCTGATCTAGAGCTTCTTCCCTTGTCACCTCTGACCTGCAGACTCCCTTCTAGAAACATCAGTTGCATCTCAAATATCTGCCCCACATCTTTCATAATGAGAACAGAAATATGGAAGGCATCCAGCTTTTCTAAAGACTTTATGGTTCTGCTTTAGGGCCCTTTTAAGAACTCCCATGTCACGCAACAGTCTGTCTTTCTGTCCAGTTACTAGCTCGCCCCTGGTTTATTGTTTCCCTATCTATCTACTCCTCCCTCCCTCTTCTTGTTTAAGCAGTACAGTATTTCTGTTTTTCAACCAAAGCCTTTTTTGTCTAATTGCTTTCTTCACACTGGCTTTGTTAACTGCACTAGTGTCCTCCTCCTCTGTGGGAAACATTCAGGGTGACCTTCACCAGCCCCCTCCCCCAACAAAACATTCTGGAGAGATCTGACTCACAAGGCACACACTACAATTGCAAGGAAACAACTCTCACATACCGATCGCTACTTTGCATGAGTTCAATCAGATCCATAAAAAGAACATCTCGGTTCCTTTCACAGAAGCCATCCATGTCGTAGGACACCTGTGGGACAGAAGGAAGAATCAGGCCTGTTTCTTTGGCAAGGAAGACATATTCTTTGGCAAGGTAGGAAAAATGGGCCTTCTATTAATCCTAGGGCACAGTTTGCTTCAGGGTCATAATCCATAGAAACTAAGGAGTTGATACTCTGTCAACCCTTCAAACCAGCCCATGAGGTTTGTTTTGGAAAAGCAGTTTGAGATAGGGAAAGAGAGAGAGCAGGGAACCACCAGGGAGAGCCTGAGTTTGTATTTTGTCTCCCTTTAGAGCTGGGGTGGGGGGGCCTTCCCTCTGCCTCTTGAGTATCAATCAGATTCTTGGTTACTCCACAGGGGGCCCTTCCCCATTCCTCCCATGGTATCATCTTTTGGTGGTTTACCAGCTTTATTACCCATTAAAAAAATATGGCCATGCCTTTTCTAAAATATGCTGGCATCTAGGGGATCCCAGACATTTTGTTTTTCGTCCTACCCACTCTTGGAAGGCATCCTACCCCCAAGCATTTCATCAAAAGGGCTGAATACAGATCCCTACCATCTACTTGAAACAAATGTCAGCTTCTGATATGGACACAGACAAACGTCTGAATTGGGTTGACATAGGAGAGGTTCCTGCACCAGGCAGCAGTGGACTTCCATACCCACACTCCAGTTTTCAACAATGCACACTCTCCAAGTCAAGCCTAAGCCGGCCTGAAATAGAATTGGCTTTCCTTTGGATTTTGAAAAGTACCTTTCCAGCATAATGGTGGATGATGAAGCCCTGGTTCCAGCTGTTGAAGTGTTCATGTGTCCCAATCTGCATCTGGAGCTTCTGCAGCAGGGTCTGGTCAGCTCCCTCGCCCACAGCGTGCATGGTGGCACAGACGTCATCTAGAATGCTCATGATGCCCGGTGGGTTCTGGCATCAAGAGAGTAACAGATACAGAATGTGAAAGGGGAGGTGTGCATAGTAAAAACTAACAGGTTACAAAGCAGCCATCCCTGACCTGGGGCATCTAGTCCTGATGGATGGGGCCACAATTCCCATCAGCCTTTGGAGTTTAGTTATTACAAGTGATTGCTACTTTTTGTATGTGGCTCTGTTTCCATGTGCCATGGGACCACCCCTGTTGTCCACCGGGAGCTCTCCAGCTCGAAGGTGCTGAACAGGTGAGGAGGGATCCCCGCTCAATAACTCAGCATTTGCGTCGCATGGAGGACATCCCTGGTTCAACCCCGGAAGCATCCCCCTTTAAAAATAACAATAATAATAATAATGCATAAAAACCATCAGGTAATAAACCAAGGAAAAGACGTCTATCTAGAAGCCTTCCCACACCTACCACTTTGTTTTCTATGAGATCGCAAACAATCTTATTGTTGAAGTAATCAATGGGAGTCCAACGAATTCCTTCTTGCACGTATTCTTCCTGCAAGAGAGAAAGATGGGCTCAGAGAAAAGACATGTGGAGACTTCGGCACATGTTCTTCAGAGCAGAGTTCTTCAACATGCCCAGAGGGAGCTCAAACAGCAAGAATCGTTTAGAGCCTTTTGACATCAGGGCTCGAGAACTGCGGATGAGAGCAGAGGTGAGGGTTTGGATTGTGCCAGGTCTGTCCAAAGCACTTGCAGGGCATTTGGTGTAAAGATAGGACAGCTCTGCACACTCACTGCCTTCAGTGCATCAGAAGAATAGAAATGAAATAAATGCATAAATAAATACTTGCAGGGCACCCACTATTCGTGTGCTGTCAGTATGTGAGGCCCGTCACTCCCATGTCATATTCAGGGAGCGACATGATCCCAAATGCAGGCTCTTCAGAATGGCACATGTTGGGAGAAAATGGTAAAAACCTTTGCCTTTCCTTTCAAAGAGACCAGCAAGGAGGAAATGGAGAAAGCAGACGTTCTTCCAGCTTTAACTGGAGGGCCTCATCCAACACAAACCCAAGGCCAGCCGCAGTTTTTCCATCTGTGACTGCGAGTCAGCATTGCTGGGGTAGTCATATGACGGGATGATTATTCTGGGGCCTGAGACTCACTCTTGGGTCATCACATTCACCGGGGTGGGGTGGGGGAGAGAATGTGCCTGCAGCAATGCCTGTGTTTACTTCCAACGCTGGGCTGCTGAAACCCACAGGAAGTTTCTCCTCAATCTTGCTGTGCAAGGCAAATTTCCCAGTAAAGACATTGGAGCAGGCACTGCTCAAGAGATATCCCACCCTCAGCCAGAAAAGTTCCCAGCAGTGAGGCTGGCGCTTCTGTGGACTTGTACTATCTGCTTGTTCCCAGCATTTATTCATTCATACCTGCTCTGCCTTCAGAGTCAATTCAATAAAGATCTGTTGTAACTTCTCGTTGACAAAATTGATGCAAAACTGTTCAAACCCATTTTTCTGGAAGAAGAAGAAGAAGAAAGGAGGGGCCCATTAAAACCTTAGCTTTGAGGCATCCTCAGCTACACCTCTTGTATGAAATTAGGCGAACCTTGTATCCTTTCGCTTCAGAACCTTGTATCCTTTTGCTTCATATTTTTGGTGGCCTATATTCACACAGCATTCCTCACCAAACACGGCAGTAACTTACATTCTACAAAACTCTTTCCAGGACTGGGTTTTCATTAAGGGAGTGCTAGCCACAATGCAGTCATGTTTGGTCAAATGCCCAGAAAAGCATTCTCTTTGTTCTTAATATACCTTATGCTTCCTTTTCACACAGATCCATTTACACCCTGAATTTTGCACTGCCTTATATGAACTGTCTGGCCTTAAATTAATGTTTTGTTTCCATTTACATGCAGCAACAAATAGGACCCAGTGGCACTCTTGAGTCCTAGGCTACTTTAATTTCAGAAAGGCCGGGAGTATATATATTTCAAAAATAATTGATAAAAAAATAAGATACGCTTCTCCCAACAGTCTCGCTCCATTTCTGCTGACACCTCTTCATACTAGTCCTGCATGACCAACAGCCTAATTCTGCGCATGCTTACTACAGGATAAATCCCATTGTGCTCAATAGTTTCAGATAACTTTATCGTTTCTGACCAAAGGCCTTTACAATATACAATAAAAAGGAACATTTCCAATGTGATCTATTAACCGCCTACAAGTAGGGAAAAAGGTAAAGGAGCAAAGTAGTATCTTTAGTTTCTTTCTCAAGTTCTGCAGAGAAAGAGTGCAATGGGCGGATGGGGGAGCAAGTTCTGGAAGTGAGGGCCCCAGCTGACTGAAAAGGCTCTGCTCTTGGTACAGAAGATGAGGCTACTCTCAAACAGTGACCAGAGAATAGCTGAACAGTTGGTTAGATTCACATGCAACACCCCTTCTCCAAAAGAAGTGACCTTACCCCCCAAGACATTTCGTAGTAAATGCTTACAATTGTACCTGAAATATTTCAAAGCCATAGATGTCCAGGACACCAATATTATATTCTTCATTATCTTTTTCCATAGCCTTGTTAATTGACTAATAAAAGAAAAAAGGCGAGGAACAGAGTTGCATAAGGAATAGGAATATAACTTTATCATAAATTAGACATAGAAAAGACACATACGCAACAAACCCCAGCTGGACATGCCACTTACATCCACCAAGAAATCAAAGACTCTGGCATGAAGCGCTTTGGCCAAGGCATCCCTTGTGTAACATGCTTGTTCCACATTGAGGGTCACGTTGATGGACTCTGATTTCCCTCCCCACTTGCTGTCCATCTGCCGGCTGGTCAGCTTCTCTTTAAGGCGGCCCTGGTTGATTCCCAGGAGGAAGGCTGGAAACGCCAAGACTGCCAGGACACAAAAGCGGAAATTGCAGCATAGATAGATGGTTTTTGCCGTATGCAAAGAAGCAATCCTCAAAGCTGTAGCAGAACACACCAATCAAGGTACCACTCTAAAAGTATGCCTAGAGGGAGATGATTGGATGACCTCAAGGGTGTGCATACACCTCTTGCAATGAGACGGGACTCCCACATACAAACACAGCTATTCCAGAATGAAGCTCGCACATCCAGTACAAAAGAACAGAATTCCCTGTACCCAACAGTTCTGACACCTTGGGCTATTTTCCCCACAGCTTGGAAAAGTTCCTTGAAGGGCCCACAACTCCAGTGCCCCAGCTAGCACAGCTGTTGGCCATCCTGTGAGGAAGATTGTGGGAGCTTTTCTGTGCAGAGGCAAATTTCCCAAGCTTTATTCCCCCTCCCCCCAATGCCATCTACTGCCTGCCACAGCCTAGCACATTCAGGGCCCAGCTGATTGTCTGGTCATCCGGAAGGGGCTACCTACACTCCTCGCTCTCCACGGCGGCATAGTTGCCAGCTTCTTTGAAGCTGATGTTGCCCAAGTGCAGCACCCCAGCCACAATCTGCAGGACCAGCGCCTGTTCCTCTGCAAAGATGCCGATCACGTTCATGGCGTGCTGCAAGAGTTAAGGTTGGAAGTAAGATGTAAAAGATAAATTATGAAACAACCATGTGAATGCATGCCATTTGAGAAATATGAGATGTGACTTTGTTATACTATCAGTACAGAAGAAAAAGGCTATGCACAATATATGACTTGTAAACTTATTTCCAAGCTCTGATTTTAAGCTTCAAAATGCAGTTTAAGATCCTGGCTTGTTCCAAATCTTGTAAAAATGACTCCCCATTTTGAAGGATATAGGAAATTATGGCTAATTAGCAGATTCCTGATTTAATCACACCTCATGTAATGGATCTCTATGAGTAAGCCAAAAGCTTGTACATATCTCAGTTTTATTCCAACGCAGCCAGTGTGCAGAACATTTTCAGAGGCTCAGCAGGGCTATATAAAAACTTACATTAAAACATGAGGTTGTAGAATTGGAACCATCAAACTTCTAAAATATAGACCCAGCTTTTCCAGCCATCCTATTTGTCCTCCACCAGCTCTATTTTTAGACAACAGCATTAAAGGTTACCAAGACAAAAATCAGGTACTAACCCAATGTTTTGCTTCTTGGGAATAAGCAGGATTGCAAAGCAGACTGGAAACAGCACAGTCCTGACTATCAGGAACCAATTACACTTTGTGCATACTTTTAATAACAGTTTCTTAAGCTAACGAAATTAAAGCGTTATAACCTTGCAGTTTACCTCAACATCTTTACAATCAACATCCAGAATGACGGAAGAAGAGTACATCATTTTGAGACTGAGAAATGGAGCTAAATCCAGCTAGTACTTACCCTTCTGAAAGGAAAAAAAATCTCCCCCCCCCCCATACAAGGTGTGTGTGTATCTACAACCACATTATGGGACATGGACCCTAACAGCTCCCCCTCATCCTTGTTCTTAAACCCTTGCCTTCTCTTGCCACAAAACTCTAATTCAAACAAAAAGACCTTACAGAGTGAAAAAGAACATTTCCAGATGTCTTTGTTTTTCACACTTAGAAAGCACCATAAGCGAAGCGGAGAAGGTATAAATCTCAAGACCTCTGCGGGGCAAGAAAACCTGTTGAACGTTTATGCTCTCCAGCTGTTCCCTCTCAAGCAGCAAGGTGAGGCGGAGGTGTTTAAGCATCGGAGAAAGAGAACAAGCAGTCTGTTTTCAAAAACATATTCCTTCTATCCAAACATTTTTTAAAAAAATTACGAGCCAGAAGAGGGGGAAAAAAAACAACTGCCCTCTGTTCTATTTGGTTTGATGCTTGTGGGCCTCATTAAAGGCCCCACACAGATAGGAGCTGCCAGTCCAAGCTCAGATCAGGAGCCAGCCTGGAAAGGGTCTCTGACACCAGAGGCAAGGGGTTCCTTGATTCTCTACAACGCTTAAGAACTCCAGTGCAAAATCCTTGGGCTCTGCCCACCACATGCCAACCTCTGGAGATCAGCCAATCTGATAGCCACAAGTGTGGAGAATGTGCACAAAAGGGCTTTTATTCTTTTATTTATTTATTTATTCCATTTATACCCCGCCTATCTAGTCATTGCAACCACTCTAGGCGGCTTATAGCATCACCTTAATTAGTTATGAGTAAAACTGGAAAGGCTGAGCTTTATTCAAGGAATTACCAGAGTTTCCTGGAAATCTATTTTGTCATTAATGTCCTCCACTTTGTAGGACCCTGAGAGACTCAGGTAGTAATAGTAGTCCATGCTAGTGAGGCCAAGGGTGGATTTTTGCTCGCTGGAGGCACCTTCAATCATCTGTGGAACAAGAAAAAGAAACATGACAGTTAACTGGCTTGAATCTGCTGGGTTAATGCAGTTTGCACATTTTGGAACCAGGGGATGGAGAGGTAAAATTTTCTTTTAAAGGAAAGCTCAGTTCAATCGTCCCGGTAAAATCATGATAGCAAAAGAAGGTGGGAGAAGGGTGAAAATGATGACACTTTGGAAACTAACAAATGTCTGAAGGAGTTAATTTTGAATCCCAAAAGCTTATGCTGAAATGAGGCTGTTAAGTCTTTAAAGTGCTATAATATTTTGCTCTTTCGAAATAGGCTCAAATCAGTGGCTCCCATCCGAAATTTAAAACTGTAAAGATACTTTTCATCCAAGAAGTACTAGAGAAATTGTGGGGGATGATATAGGGCAGGACATGTGCCACACAACCACCAGAAATAAGTCAGGGAACAAATATCCCACAGCCCGGCTTGGAGATTTTGGATGACACCTCCTGGGTTGCTCATGTAAGAGGTTCACATTTCAAAGCACTTCAGAGGGTTTTAGGCACAGAACTGAGAAGGTCCCCCGGGGGTCTCCTGCTGGTCAAAGTGTACACAATTGAGCCAGACAGTCCAGCATCCTGACATTAGACTAATGTTGCTGGTCAGGTGTACTGGCTTGCAAGCTATGGACATTGGCCATCGTGGCTGGAGATTACAGGGGAGGTAGTCCAGTATGTCTGGAAGGTGACAGGTTTGGGAAGGATGGAAGACTTGCAAAGATGGGGAGGGGGTTGGTTGCCTAAAGCCAGGTCACCTATTCTGTGTACACTCTGCGCCCCCAGCAGCACTTCCATTTGAAAGGGACCTTGAAGGAAGCGGAAAGCTGTGAAAGGCCCTTCTCTGCTTAAGATCCCAAACACTGGATTAGACAGGCTGAAGACAAAAGCCAGTTTGAGGCATCTTCCCACGTCTACCTAGTTAAAGACTAGTCTGAAGGAGAAGCCAGGTTCAGTTCCTTAATACCCACCCAGTCAGGAAGGTGGGTAGAATCAGGGTTTGGAACAATGTCTTTTTAAAACTACAACTTCCAGGATCCTCAACAGCTATGCTGGCAAAGAGCTTCCAAAAGATTCAGAAAGGAAGGAAGAACAACTCTTTCTCATTTCACTGCAAGAGAAGAAATTTCTTGTGGGTTGTGCTACTTAATTCTGATGAGAAACCAGCAGTTTTCAGAAAATCAGCAAAATCATTTTTTGGTTGGTTGGTTTTGAAAGAAGCCCTTTGAAAAGCTTCAGAAAGTACCTAACCTGGTAAAAAATGTGGAAGCTTCTCTCTCCAGGATTCCTCATGACCACCCGAGATTTTTCCAGCAAGAAGTTGGATATCTTGCCTCCATCTGGCTCCCCACCTGGACTGAACTGGATTTCAAAGTATTTCCCCTGCAACAAAGAATGAATGTGGATTGCTGAAAAGGGATTAAGTCAATATTAGCCTTGAGGCTAAATTCTGCCCAGTGGCTCCAGGCATTTGGTCCACAGCATTGCCAGGAGAAAGCTGGGTAGAATAAAACCTTCCATGCAAAGAAGAACCTGGGGAGTTTTTTTTTTATTGTTTAGTCAAGGCACTGTTACTGTGTTCTGGCTGGTCATAGTGTGTATAGAGGTCACTCTGCTGGGTGCTGTTATCCCAGAATTTCAGATTTACTGAGGTTTTGGGTGGTTGGTTTTTTTGTTTTGTTTTTTGCCTCTTTCTTAAGGCCTTGGATTTAGTGTTTGTGTTGGCATGTGACTTCAAGGGCTCAAATATCAAATAGGCAAATAGGTTGGTGAATAAAGCCAAAAAGCCGGAGCAACCCTTGCATATTATGCCAAACCTGATGCCCTCAAGATGTGTTCAACTATACATTTAAGTCTCTGGGACTCTCTGACTTGCAGTTTGGAATTTTAAAAGTGATGGGCGAAAGAACACACTGAAAGCAAACCAACAGAGGCAGGAGAGAAACAAGTTTATCTTACTGCCTGCACTCACTGTTTTTCAAAATTCCCAAAACCTCTTGGAAAAAGGGCTTCAGAAAGGCAAACCCACAGCTTGAAACGGTTTCCATTTCTGGACTGTGGTTCCAAGAACCTCCAGCCCTCTGGTCCTGTGCCAGGTTTCCAAGCTCCGAACAGACGGATAGAAAGTTTGCACACTCTGCTTCCCTTTGACAAGACAGAATGCCCTGATGCTGACAGAGCACTTCAAACTAAGAAGCGCAGGTGCTCTGAGAAATTGGGCTTCTGTCCTGGCTTGGTCTGCAGCCCAACACATCTATAAGGCAACTGGCTGAGGTTGCCTGCTACATGCACTCATCCTCCTCTTCCACTATGGTCCTGAACAGAAAGGATGAAAGCACCAGCAGAAAGGAAGAGTATGGAAGTGGAATTGATTTGACCAGAGCGCATGTTTTAAGAAAACAATGCTTGGCTTCTCTGTGCCCCCAAGGAAGGATGTTTCCAAAGGCACTGGGCCATGAAACCTTCACTTTTTTGCATGGCTCTGAAAAACTTTCATTTCTTTTCTCCCTACTGTTATCCCTAGTGTTTGAAATACTCCAGTACTTCTTTCATCAGGGACAGTAATGAAACTGAGGTTGGGTAATGATGATACGTATACACATACCACAGGCAGCAATGACCCAGTGGCCAGAATGCTATTCATTAGCTATGCCAGTTTATGTGCAATGGTGTAAGAGCAGCCAGGGTGATTTGCTGTTAGGTATCCAGTTGCTATTTGTATTCCTCCCGCTGCACACCAACTCATGCAATTGATGCACAACAAGCAGTGGCTTGTAAACTAGTGGCTGCGTACTGCTCCTGTCTTTCTCACACACTCTCTGTTTAAAAAACCATTTGGAGAAAAAAGTGCTATTATCTCTCTTGCCACCAGCTGTCCTAACCCAAAGAGGGAATACCTTCACAAGCCAAAGCAAATTCACAAACTTTGGAACCTTTCCCCTTTCACTCACACAGACTCTGCCTCCATCTTTCTTTCGCTTGCTTGCTCTCACTCTCTGATACACACCCCATTTTGCCCACATTACTGTGGAATGCAGAAAAGGCGATGCCATACTGTTCTCTGCACACTCGTCTATTGCCAAGTTCAACATGTACTGATGGGAGAGTGATTCTTATTTTATGTCTTGATTTATGTACAAATCTATAGTTTTTTTAAAAAAATTAATCTGTAGGTTTTTTTAAAAAGTGAAAGATGGGAGGAATTCCCTTGCTGCCTCTCCCAAAGTTTTTTCAACATGTCCCCAGTAGTTCCTCTTTTGGCATTCCAACCTTCCATCATGAGGAAATAACTTCCTCTGCTACCCTAAAAATACCCTTTGCTTTTCCATACTGCTGTGCTTTTTGTGAATTACTCAAGAGAAGTGCTCACAAATCTGCTGGAATTGTTGTTCCGAACGGTCTTGGCATTTCCGAAAGCCTCCAAAAGAGGATTGGACTGCAGAATGATGTCCTTCACATGCTGGAACACAAAATCAAAAGTGGATTGACTGAATGCAGGACCAAGAGTTTGAATGAAATTAAGATTCCTTAATCTTCCAAAAGGTTTGTGCATCAATGGTGCTGAGATAGTTAGACCTTCAGGTTTGCTCAGGAAGAATTCTTGTGATCTTCAAGGAAAGCATGGCCACCCTGGAAAGTTGCAGAAATTATTCCCTGGGATGTCTTGACAAGCAGAAGCTCACCTGTCCTAACTGTTAGGGAATCCTGTTCAAGTTTTGGATGGGATGGGGTGTGGAAGGGGAGAAGAAAGACATCAGATCACATGATCTCAGCTGTGGAGTAGTGCTCCCAACTGTGGTCCACAAACAGAGGACCAGATGCAGGAGAAACTAAAGAAGAAAGCCAGCATCTCCACCGACATGATGCTAAGGATTTAAAGTTCTGACATCAGGCATATGAAACATTGGCCCTCCTGAGATCCCAATCTGCTCTGCTGGAGATTCCTTAGGACACGCTCTCCATAACACCATCCTCTGATTGCTTCCCAGCTTTTGTATGGAGGTAATTTAATGCCATTCCTGGAGATTACCTACTGACAAAGCTTTAAGTGAAAATATGCTCACATGTGGACTCCATCCTTTTGCCTCTGCTGCCCACCCTCACTCTCACCACCGGAATGGAACCCCCGAGAACTTCTCTGGGAAAAGATTCCTCCCTTTGGCAGAAGGAGGTTTTCCACGCTTGCCTGACATTTTCCCTTCCTTGCTGACGACATCCAGGGATACTTCCCGAAAAATGGTTAGAGCTACCTCATATTTCCCTCCTTAAATACACATTTACTTTGTAAGGGGAAAAAATGGAAGCAGCAGAACACACAGGAACGGCATACACCGGTGACAAGGATGCCCAGACACTGGCTAAAATTCCAAGAGTGAAACTAAGAAACTATAAAATATGAGACTCATGAGGAAACATGCCACAGATGAGACTTTAGTGGGCTGACACTGTCTTTGGAAATAGGAGCAAGTGGGTGCTCCGGCCATTGTGCCCTACCTGTGGGCTTTCAACAGACTCTGGGAAACAGAATGTGTGAATCCAGTGACCCTGTCATCAGAACCAGCTCTAGAGATCTTCTCAAGACCAGCAACCCAACACTCTTCCAGGTACCTTCTTTTTTGTTCTTATGTTTTAAATGAAAGTTTTAAAATATTTCTCTTCCAGTGTTGCCAAAGGACACCTGGTCTGCCTTGAATGGGTGTAGAGAGACCCTCAGGAAAGGGCAGGAGGCTAGTGAATCCTCTCCCCTCTTCTGCAGAATCTATCCCTCCCTTTTCCTTCCCCAGTAATAAAGGGTCATCATATCCCTTTTATTACCTGCTTTCTGGCAACCATTCAGTTTGAGTTTAGCTTCTACAAAAAAGGAAGAGAAGTCCTACCCCCAAAATAGCTAAAAAGGCTATTTATAGGATGTGATTAAACCCATTCCAGAACCAACATGGAGCACATTTCCGTCTCAGTGGCTCAATTCTTTGGCTACCGGCAGATGGTTATCATTGTCTCCCATGGTAAAAACAGGAAGGACACAATCATCATGAGTACAGTAAAGCAAATAAATGAAAGGGAGCAAGCAAAGCAGCTGGCCAGCAGCAGGAAGCTGCTGCTGGCTGGTCTATTGCCTAGAATAGCCCATCTACCCATCAGCTGATGAGCTCATCAACGCTCCTCGCTCAAACCCCCAAGCTAGCTCATTGCCTTAACCTTGCCGCCCTTGCAAATAATTTACATAGAGTATACGTGCACAGGTGTCCCAAAGGTGAACACACTGAAATTTAACAGGCAGAGGTTCAATACTTCTCCTACATCGCAATTTCTATCCAGGTACTATCCCTTCCAAGTCAGCAGCTTCTCACCTGTACTTTCGGGCCTCCTCCTGATATTTTGGAGATGTAACTCATGATGTACTTGGCTCCCACAGTCTTTCCAGCACCACTTTCACCACTAGGAAACAATTAAAAGGATATTATCTCAAATCATCCAGTCAAGGCAGGACGCCAAAACTGTGGTTCAGTATTGCTGTGGTTTTTAGTATTACTGATTCAAGCAATTCCAGTCTTGGGCTCCTGCACTGCCTCTGTCCCTTGCACTGGGGGATTAGAAATCTGTATTCTCTAAGGCTTTCACAGCCGGGATCTGATGGTTGCTGTGGGTTTTTCGGGCTCTTTGGCCATGTTCNNNAAGAGCCCGAAAAACCCACAGCAACTATAGATTAGAAATCTCTTTGCACCAAAATTTCTAACTTGCCATTTCCAACAGACTCAGCAATGTTTGTGTCTTGACCATAATCCTGGATGGAAAGCCACTGCTCAAACTGAGTTATAGTTTGGGCCAAACCACAGTATACCAGGTTTGGATATAACGGCAAACCTTAGTTTGCCAGGAACCAGGAGGGGGGGTTCTAATTCTTCTTGAATCGACCATGCCAGCATAGCCTACCTGTAATTTAGAAGAGGCAATTACCAACGTTCCCTCTTTTTTTTCTGGGGGGCTGGGTGGGGGTCCCACACCAGGCGCACAGGGTTCCAGCTGCAATCCGAAGCAAATGGGCAGGCAACACTGGCTTGGCTGCATCCTCCCAATGCAGCGCTGCGCAGTTATGTGGCGTAGATGGCACGTTGGCAATTCTCCCAGCATTGCCTAAGCCATGGTTCAAATATTACATTTGGACAGTCCACCTGCGTGCTTTAGATCTACACACACGGTTTTCATCCAGATTTAAGCTGCTCTTAATATCACTGAAGCTCAGAAAAGTTCCTTTTGGGGGAGGCTAAATGTCCCAGAACCCCTCAGCCACAATGTCCAGTGATTACAAAGACTGCCTACTGTTTGTCTTCTCCATCATCATTAGGCCAAAGCACTTAAAATATAACACTGTATGTTTTTCCCAGTGACACTGATTTATGAACTCAGATCCATGTCTGTGTTATTCTTTGTTTTAAAATGGCTGGATGGATGCAGGCACATAAAATTTCCAGGCACAAGGAGAGCAGCCAGTATGAGCGTGAAGGCCCAAAGCTGCTCATAATGCCACCAGAGCTTGTGAAAGTAACTTTTTGGATTATAACTCCTTGAATCGACCATGCCAGCATGGCCTACCTGTAATTTAGAAGAGGCAATTACCAACGTTCCCTCTTTTTTTTCTGGGGGGCTGGGTGGGGGTCCCACACCAGGCGCACAGGGTTCCAGCTGCAATCCGAAGCAAATGGGCAGGCAACACTGGCTTGGCTGCATCCTCCCAATGCAGCGCTGCGCAGTTATGTGGCGTAGATGGCACGTTGGCAATTCTCCCAGCATTGCCTAAGCCATGGTTCAAATATTACATTTGGACAGTCCACCTGCATGCTTTAGATCTACACACACGGTTTTCATCCAGATTATATTGATCAGGAGTCTGACAAGTTTATTTGTGATAAGAGATATAATGCCAAGCAGAACAACAATACAAGGTTTATGCACTCAAAGAACCAGATGCAAGGCCTGTTCTTTCTCTCCTGACCCTTCCAGGGCCCTGTTGAAAGACCAGCCCAATCTTTCTAGGGGGCCGCGGTCATTCAGGGAAAGGACTCTTGCAGAGTGGTTGCCCACTGGTTCCTCCCTCTTCTATTGCTTTTCCAATATGCCTGAACCAAAATGCACTCTCCTTTCTAATTCCATCCCTCTTTAGGGATCTCCCAAGGAAAAACATGCATCTTAAGTTTCAAGAACAAAGGAGGTATAAATGATTATGTATCCTACAACCCTTTCAGAGAATTCTATTTTGATGACTATCGTAAATGTTACCAACTCTCATTACAAAATGCTGCAATGTCTGTTGAAGGTTTTTTAAAACTAATATAGAAAAGAGCAAGCAGAGCAAATTTCTAACCTTCTAGCACCTTCTCTTAGACTCCCTGGGGGGGGGGACACACACTAACTTATCCCATAGGCCTGTTGAAAATGCAAACACCCTTAGACGCAACAGAAAATGCAAACACCCTTAGATGCAACACTGAGAGTAGCTTAGCATTACACGGATAAGCCTTACACACACAACATAACACAGTGGGCTACTGGATCTAAACCAGGAACTGCATTTCATTCCAGCAATGGTTTATCTGAATAGGTGCCAATCCACAGCCGCCACACAAGAGAGACTTGATTGCTTTGAAGCAACGGGGGAGCAGCCAACATCTTATTTCATCCTGGCCTTCAGTGCACCTTCAGTGTTTCATTTAATTTCCATGCTACTAAGGCATGTCTTTTGTGATTTATTGAAGCCTTTTCTTAAATAGATCTGATTGCTCCATTTGACAAGCTGCTAAACTCCCTCTCTGGAAATCCATGGTAGCAGAGTGGGTGCCCTGTTCAACTAGAGGTCAGAGGAGATTCCTATCAGGATTCATATCAGAGCTTGGCCAAAGCCACTCACTGGGCTGTACTGGTAGAAATGGGAAATAATTCCTTGAACATCTCACAGACCTTGAAAACCCTGTTAGGATCCCTGGAAGTCACTTGACAGTACAGAATAAGAGCAAGCGGTCTGTAACTTCCCTGCTTCACCCATAGGATTCTGCCCCACAGAATCACAGGGATTGTCCAAAAATAAATAAATAAATAAAAGTGTGTACAGTGGGAGATCCTGGGACATTTAGTTCAAAGAAAAACTTTTCCAAGCCCTGAAACATATAGGACCAAAAGGAACCACCACAAATTTATGGTGTGATTTTAATAAAAGGAAAGAGATCCTGTGATGTGGTCACCCAGAATGTCTTACTACACAGGAAAAAGGAATCAAAATGTTATCAAAGGGAATGCACAATGTCATTTCATCTGCTGAATATCTGGTTTTTTTTTTTTGTTTTTTTTTTGTGTTTTTTTTACAGTTCTCATTCCAGGACTCAAAGTAATACTTTAAACATAAGGAAGAGTCGTTCTGATATCTAAGTAGAAAATATGGCAAAGTCTGTATAGAGGAGAAGGCTTTAGTAATGACCCTACCACAAACAAGCATTTTCTGAGTGGTCTGGTGTGTGTTGCAGAGCATAAGCTTAAAACAGAAACAAGAGGCAACATTTTAGCCACGTCATTGTTTCTGTCCTTTGCTCTGTAGCCACACACAGGGAGAATTCTTGTAAGCATAGAGAGTACATTTATTTTTAAGGTTCAGGAAACCAGAAATAGAACACTAAAAGCCACAATGATAATATGTCAGAGAAAAACAAGGCTGGTTGCTTTCAGACCAAGAATGTAGGGTGTAAGCGAGCATGACAAAGAAAGGCCTCGAGTGTGGTATTTTATTCATTGTCTTAGCAAAGATTCTAACATGGACAGCCGTCAATACAAAAAGATTTCTGAAAAGACAGAGAAGCTAGATGCCAGTGATTCAAGAGGAACTGAAGTTTGTCATACAGCAGAGACTTATGCATATTGCAGCACACATGCCAGTTCTGTTGGAAATGTGGGAGAATTCTTTTACCAGGGACCTCTTCTTACCAAGTCTTTAAGTTGGCTCAGTGGAGTGCAAGAACCTGAATAAGGACTATGGGCAAAAAGGCAAGCTCTGCACTTGAAAATCATAAATGCTCTAGAAGACATAATTCATGGAACCATTCAGTAGGAAGGCACCTTAAGGGTTATACACGGCTAAAGCATGCTTGAGTGACGCCTGTTCGACCACTGCTTAAGAACCTTCAAAGAAGGAGATGACACTTCGGATGACTATCCGACAGCTTTTACCGAAGAACCTTCAAAGAAGGAGATGACACTTCAGGTTTTTCACTATTTGACAGCTTTTACCACAAGGACATTGTCCTTAATATTCAGCCAGAATCTCCTTTCCTGTAATTCGAATCCAGTGATCTGGGTCCACTTTAACAGTCAGGGTCATATACAACAAAAGCACCCATCTCTCCAACATCTTAATTTTTTCTCTTTGTATTCTGCCTGTGGAAAAGTTACTTTTCTTTATATCACCTCCCAGAATCCTTCAGCAGGCATGGCAAGGTGTCCAGAAGTCACCATCCAGGAAAGCAACTTTTCCAAGTGCCAGTAGACATGTGCAGGTCTTTATGAGCATTCGGCTATGGGAACCCCTTGCTGCCCCTTGAGCCAGGACAGCTGAGACACAGCGCTACACCAGATTCTACAGGAAAAAAACTCCTTCTCTCTTCCAAAATGAAGAAGGCTTAAGCACGCAATGAACAATCGCTTACACACGAGACAGATTTTTCTTTCTCTAGATTGTTCCCATGCATGTTTCTTGCTCAACCCTTACAATAAGTGCACATACAGAGAGACAAAGAGCCATTCCTTACCTGATGATCACACATTGGTTTTCTCTGTCAATGATCATGTTTCGGTACATACTGTCTGCCAGAGCATAAATATGTGGTGGGTTTTCATACTGAGCCTGCCAGAATGGGAATATATAAAAGGCACAATATAATACCTGAATAATTTGTCAACCCTCTACTTTCTGAAAAAAAGTGATACTCTTCCTGAGATACTGAGGCTGGAGTTATTCAAACATACATAGAAGAACAAGCCTTGCAGACTATTAACTAGCATGGCTTCAGAAAAGAAACATCTGACATCATCAAAACTTTTAAAGCTCTTCAGGTCTGAAGCAAAGATTAAAAGAACACAACTGAGCAAAATGCATTACTTACAGCTCCTTGGTACATTTCAATTTCTTTCTCCCCAAAATATGGCATCTGTTTGAATGGATTCACAGAGATCAGCACCGATCCAATATATGTCTAAAATAGTCAAGGTTCATGACACGTCAGAAAAACTATGATGCATTCTCCCTTCCCACAGTTAGCCTCTCATCAGCTTCTCCCATTTGCTTATAGCATGGAGAATACTTCATGAAACTTAAATCGCCAGAAGGATATGTATGAATCCACATGAAAAAGTGACTCTTCTGAGAAGTCTGGGTTTCCATTACTGCCAGACAACAAAGTCTCTAATCCGGAGCTCCCTCTGCACTTTGATCAGAGGGCTCAGAACTCAGAGACAGGGCCTGCGTTCACTGCATTTTGCAGTAACCAGACATGCCCCAGCCAAGCGCTGATCATGTCCAAAAAAGCATCCCCCACTGCTTCATCTAAGACTTGCAAATTTTGTTCCCATCAAGTGCTTTTGCTTAGCTGATCCAAATCGTTTTTTATTTAGGAATGCAACCTGCAGAGGAGCTTCAGGATGTGCACACTGTATTTGGCTCACTGCTGCTGTTTGAGTGACAACAACATCTATCACTTCACTGCGCAATGCGCGCATACACAGACCCAACACAGGCACAATCAGCACTCAGTCTTGGACATAAGAGCTCATTGTTTTGGAATAATAACAGCAAGTTGATGTCATGCGATTAATGAAAAAGCCAAGGCAAATGAACATAAATTTTCATACTGTGCAAAACTGGCATATTTGGAGGAGATCCAAAGAATGGTGGCTCCACCCAGGTCATCTCTATGGCTTAGCAAGAACCCATTTGGGTGGACATAAAACACACAGAAGCAACTGCTCGATTAACGAGGTTAGCATTTTATGGGAAGATTCCGTAACCTTTCCCCATAAGGGCCATATTGTAAACCTCTGCCTACAAAAAAGTGAGCTAAACAGCTGAGCCAGTCAGTAGCCAAAGGCCTGCTCAGAAATAATGGCCTCCTGGTGGATTTTGAAATGGGTGAAAAATTTTAAAAGCCTGCTGCTTTTAACCCAGAGGAAGAGAAGAAGACTAATTCTTGTTTGTGTCCAACTTTGTAGGCATGCCCTGCAAGATTATGTAAACTGGGATGTGTGCAGTGTAAGGGGCAGAATGAAATCCAACAGGTGTAAAACTTTTCCTGGCATGGTCAGGTCAAGGAGAAAAGGTTACCTCTGGGTTTGTTTCTTTTTTTTACCTTTTTTGTCCTCTAGAACATATTGCCTCTAAAATCTGGCATTTTTGTTGCCATTTATTATGGTCTTGCTGATTAATTTTATTGTTATACAAATTAATTAATTATTTTTCCATTTATTACATGTTTCTCCCAACTTCCCAGTTTTTAAAAAAAAGCATTCAAGGTGAGTGATAGCAAAGAAAACACTAAAGCCACTGAAAATCAACATAACCCCTGAATCAAGTAATGTTGGATTCTTCTGTTACACTGCTTGGTCTTCTGGTGTTGGATTATTCCTGTTATTCTACTCTTTAGCAAGAACATACAGAACAGGCATTCTCCAGGAGGGATTCTTCCCATTCCACAACAGCCACAGCCCACAGCTTCCAAGCCTTTCTCGGGCCCATGGAAAGGATACAAATATGTAGTCATCCATATAGCGCTTCTTGAGGTTCTCCACAATGGAGTCTTCCGAGATCTTGGAGAGTAGAACCATGTCATCCACACCACTCTGCTTGACATTGTGGCTCTGCCAGTGGTACCGGTAATGCCCCTTGCTCCCCTGTGGAAGGACACCAAGAGGAGCCCAGTGAGGTATGAAGGATCAGAGCTATCTCAAGACATTTTTCTGCCTGAAACAATTGGCAAAATGGTGATTCCCTTTCCTGCTCCATAAACAGATTCTGAAATTCTGCGCGTGAATCTTACTTTAACATTGGCAACAGTTGTATTGGCTGTGGGGAGCCTGGAACAAGCTTTGAGGCATGCACACTGTTGGAACTTGGTCCTCCACCCCCCCAAGGAAAACCAGGGATTTCAGGAGCCACAGCCACTCCTGTCACCACTCAAGTACCTGTCCCCTGAGGCAGCCGCCTCTCTCTGCCTCATCTAGAGGCAGTTCTGAGAAGGACCTGTAAATGCAACAGAAGAAAGAGACACCTGACCACCCAGTATTCCGCTCCCACACACTCTCCAGACAGTTCGCTGTACCAGGAAATACGAACTAATGGGGTCAGGGGTGAGAGAAGGGTTTTTATCGTAAGCTGCATTCTTCTGTTTCCGCCATGCTTTTCTATGTTGAAATGCCAATCAATATTGGGCCTAAAAGTAGGGGAGAGCCAGCAGTGTACAGTTGCAGGAAGAGGAGGAGGAAAAACCATCAAATCAGCTGTAAAGCAATCCTTTAAGTCCGAACTTCGCACAGATCTCTGCAGAATAAGAAGTTGCACAGAAGTTGTGTATGAAAAGGGCATGCATGCTGTACCGTGGGCACCACAATATTCTAGCTGGATGTTTAGACCAATCCCTTACAGAAAGCCCACTGCTTCGAATGGAGTGAGTGACCTCCAGCTCAGAGCACTGCAACCCAGCAACTGTGCAGGCAGCTAGGCCCTTGGGGTGTTGTGCTTCATATCTTCATCAGATTCTGCCCTGCAATGCTTTGCAGAAGGATAAACAGCAGAGAGGAAACATGCACAAAGGCAAACCACTGATTCTATTTGCAAACAAATATGCTGAGTGCTAGCCGAACTGAAGCCAAAGCAGAGCTGCTGAGGAGCAAGCAAAATGTGTCGGCAGTTTACAGACAAGAGGACCAAAGGACAACAAAAGAATACACGCTGGAAGCGCTAACTGCTTTTTATGAAATTTGGGCAATAAATTCATTCAGGAAAAGGGTGCAGGTTCCTTCTCTGTTCACAAACATGATGCACCCAACCTGTGCAAAAGTCAACCGAAAATGCTTAGGTTACTAAACACACGTAGCAAGCAATAAAAAGACATTATACAGTGGAAGCAGACAACGGTATGCAAATATTCAGTGCTTTACAATCAATAAGGAAGGCAGAGAAATGTATAAACCACATTTTTTAAAAAAAAAGGAGTTCAGTGGCAGGAATGATCAGCACAACAAGGAGCAATGGATTGTTAAGTACCGTCTGGATAAGAAAGGGGATCAAGGAACTAGGGAAGAATGAGACACCCTGCTAGCATAAGGACAAGATTGGCAGGATGAACTTTTGGGATGATCTGCACTGAGACAGTTTGTTGCAGGCCCTACTGTAATAATAAGAAAAGTGGGAATTAAAACTGGCAATATTTACAAAAAGTATTAAAATATTTTGTTTTTGGACTACAACACTAGAATTCCCCAGGCGGCAGAGACAGAACCACCCATCTTTGCTAAATCTGCACAAGATCTACTAAAAATCATTAAGAGCAGCAAGGACAGAAAGGATTCTGCCTGTCTCCCTTATTTTCTTTACTGGGCAGGGAAGGACATTTCTTAACTGGGCCGCCATCTGCAGAAAAGCAGGGCCCGTGAGCTCAGGTGGAAGAGGATGGCCCCCAAGCTATTTAGACTTTAAAGGTTGGAACAGGCACCTGGAACTGTATCCAGAAAAGTGTAATGCCTGTAGCATTAAGATCAGGTTTATTATTTGTGGAGGAACATGGATCCAATTGACATTTGGGGAAATCAAAAATAGTTTGCTTTAGAAAAACAAACTTTTCAGGCCTTTGAAGGTTATTGGGATAAACAAAGGATTCTTTGCCTCTCCTTCCCAGGACTGAAGCAACCAGGAAAGAGCAGCCTATTTAATTAACTAATTACTTCATATACTGCCCATCTAGCTACCCGGGCCACTCTGGGCGGTTCACAATAAGTATGCAGCAGTTATTACGGAATAACCATTGACTGAAAGACAGAATTCCAGTGAGATTATTTTTCTGTCCAAAAAGGATGTGTCCTGGACAGCAGCAAATCTAGGAAACATATCTTCACACGAGTGAGACTAAACAAGGAGCATAACATGGAACAGGAAGCACAGCAGTACCCCTTTGTGAAAAAGCATAAAAATAGAACATAAAAGCCGGACCAGGGAATCTGGGACCTCCAGATGGTGGTGAACGACTACAACTATCATGATCCCACCAGCAGCAGCCTGGCGACAAGGGCCCAGTGCCACTGGAATCCAGAAGTCTGTGGAAGACCACTAACAAAACCTATGAAGCAACTTTTGAGTAACAAAAAAGTTTGCAACGAAGGAACCCATGGAACCTTTTTATCATTACAGCACTCTGAACTGCAACAAGCAGAAATTCTGATAGAAACCAGCTATAAGCTTCTTGCCATGCAGACATCTCCTCCAAAATAAAATCTTTTGCTCGCCTTTTGCTCGCCTAGAACCGTCTAGAATCCACAGCATCTCTTCAGCCACAAGAAAAGGCGCCTGTCCTGGTCCGAGGGCTTCAAAGAGGCGGTTGCTGCTTTCTCTCATCTTTCCCTTGCCCGCTTTTACATTAGGGAAAAGAGTGCTGATTTTCCTGAGGCAAAATCCCTGGGGTTTTTTTCAAGTGAGGGAAACAAATATGTTGCTTAAGCAGAACTTCAGAGGAGAACAAATAAGCATTATCGGAAGATACGGGGGGGGGGGGCGCTGGAATCCTGAAGAGAGAAAAAAAATCGGAACTTCAGGACTGCTGTGTCTGCCCTTTTCGACAAGACCACCATGAGGCCTCAAATACCACTGGGGACCAGCATGTTTCCTCAGCACGGGAGTTTAAAAGGCCTGCCAAGATCCCCTAAAGCAACACCTCCAGTTTGTCTGGTTTGGCTACGAATTTAACTGAATGTCCTAATGAAACAGAGGCCAGTCCTGCAATGATCACCTCAAGAAAGGGAACACTGCAAATTCTGCCTTGTGTGAGGCCAAAGCCCAGAGGGACATATTTGCCTCAGGGCCAGCTCTGACATCAGTCAGGAGAAAGCAACAGCCTCTGGGAACCAATGTTGGGTACCATGAAAGCTCAACACATTTCTGAGCTATTTAAGGTCTTATTATCGTATTTTAATTTTCAGTCAGGGAGGGAGAACAGCATTTGTGTGGTATTTTGCCTCAGTGCCAAAATAACTAGTTTGACCCTTCATCTTGATGGGAGACAGGGAAAATATTGTTCTGCCCAACCTCAGGCAGTAAAACTTCTTGCGTTGGATATAATTTGCCAACAAAGCTACACCCAACTGAACTCTGAGATGTAATCAAACAATACAGTGTTAGATAGACAAAGCACTTCTAAAACTGTACGAGAGTCATAAGCAATGGAAAAACCATTCATTCATGGGACTGTAACAAGCTGAGGGGAATTACAGGTTTCTAGGACACGACCATTGGTCTGGATAAAGCAAATCCCCTGTGAGATTTTGCATTCCGACTAATTCCCCTAAGAGGCCAAAATAAGCAAATATGCATCAAAACTGCGTCAGCTGGAGAAATAATCTGCAACTTCAGATCACCCTTGCAAGAGCTATTCAGATTTTTTTTCTTAATGTGAAAAAAGTGAATTCGTAGTGGGAAACATTCCATAAATATTTTGGTTATGCTTTGAAATATGAGCAAGTTTCCCATAAGATACTTTGTACCACACAAGTGTGTGTGAGATAGGGTTGTTGATAGACAGCCTCTTACTGCAAGGTTTATGAAGTCCCACTCAGTGCAAGACTACTTGAAAGTAAACCCCTTGAATTCAGTGAGGCTGCTTGCAGGTATGCAGAGTTGGAAGCCTGACTACTTCATCAACACTTGAGCACGTTGTTTGGTTGAAAACACTCAAGGGTCTGTAAATTGTCTTAAAAGGGGATCAATAGATGGTCAATCTGTGCTTTGTTTCTTTAATACAAGATTTCTAGGATCTCTTGGGACATAATCGCCTTTGGAGAGCAGCTACTAGCTAACTCACAGGAATGGCATTATCTGGGACATGAAACCTGTGAGGACTCTGGTACAAGGAAGACTGGCACTCAAGCCTGACCCTTCTGCAAATGAGGCACAGTGTTCCCAAGTCTGCCTTGCAGAGCTGTCCAAAGGACTCCACACAGCACTCAGTGGCAAGTATTGTTATTAGTAGGATTTTGCTTTTCTGCAATATAATGCAATTTCTTAACAGCTTTCTGCCCAGAGACACTGAACCCCGTGGAACAAGGACACACACCATCCAGCACCGGGACAGTTGTGAATGCAGACACAGATTCCAGCATCTGACCTCCTGGGCTACCAAAGTAACATCCTGAACACCCATCCCGGGGTACAGAGAACCTAAGCTTGCAGAGGGAAGAGTTAACCTTCACATCTACAGCTCTTCAAAATGCCCACCCAGCATTGTCACCAGGCTGCTTGGGGGATTCTGGGAGTTGCAGTATAACTTTTTTAAAAGCCCTTTGGACCACTGGTTCAAGGACACAATGGTCTTGCATTAGCCAGAGATAAGTCAGCTACTTTTCTCCAGTAAGGTGGACTTTCCTGTCCCACTCACTGGCTTGGTGGCTGGAAACTTTGAGCTTCCTCTGTCTAGTCATGGCTAAATTCTCCCCCTCTATATCTAATTACTCCTGAGTAACTGTCACAACACCGGTAGTAGCGGTGGAGGAGAGAGATGTATAAGATAGAAACCCAGTCTTTTGAGGTATGTTAGGATGAAATGCTTGTTTATTAGTGAATTAATTGCATTCATATTGTCTTCTAATGAGCTTGAGGGAGAATACATGACTTGCTTCCTCTTCAGTTCACCATCACAACATTTTTGTAAGGACCTATCTATGCCTGTGAAATTCTTTGAAATAATCAACCAAGATCAGCACATTTGGTGAGGTAGGTCAGGCTGAGGTCAGACAGTGACTTTTCCCAAGACCATCCAGGGAGGGCCATGACTCTGCAGAGCCAAGAACAGATTTTCCCGTGCCCCAGTCCAAAAATCTAACCACAGCACCACCCCATCCATCTGCTGCAGATCTCCGGGCAGTGCCAGGACTGGAACACAGAACTAACAAGCTTAAAAACACATGTGCCTGTGTGTCCACATGCACACACACAGAGCCCTGAGGATTTTAGAACCGAATAGGGATGCAGGACAGCAGCAGCTATAAAACTAGTATCCTCTCAGATATATGCCATTATTTGAAAGGGAGCTTGTACATAAAGTGAACAGAGAACACAGACTCCACTCATGGAAAAGGCACAAGCAAAATGGAAAATTTCTATTATCCTTTTGTATGACATGTTTTATAAACGGACATTGTTCAGCTTTAGCACTGCTGGAGGAAGAAAAGGGAACACAACCAACATCTGTTTTAGTTCTATTCCCAGCCAAAATGTCTTTCTACCAAATGTGCCAATATTGGCGTTTTATTGTAAAGAACTACAGGATCACATCTGTCAGGAAGCACCTGTCTCGTCACCAGAAGTTTGCCGCTATTTCCTTATTGCTGACCAGCATTTGTGTACTCAATTGATATGTACTTTTAAAAAGAAATGTACCTACATTTAATTATACAGAATTTAGACAAAATTCAGAAACCAAAAAAAAGTTACTTAAGCAAGTGACCAAGATCCAATCTTATGTAACCTCATAAAAAGGCTTTGTCCTTCATGTGTAAAAATGAAGACACAACACCAATGAATTTTACATTTGTTAGGTCTTCAAAGTTATCAACACAGCAGACATCAATGTTCATTTTAGAAACCAAACCCAAAAATGGGGTGGGTGTTTGGGGTGGGTAAATACCTTTGTTGGATTATGAAAACATCACAAACAAGCAAACTTCTGAGTCCTATAGAACTCTTCATCAGACTACACTACAGAATTTGTGGAGGAGTGGGGAGAAAAACAGAAAGTTCTAAACCATCCTGGCCAGAAAGAGCCAGAATAGATTTGGAAGTTTTGGACTCTTCCGTTTGTTGGTTTTTGTATACCGACCACAAAGATGTATGTCATCTTTGGAAATAAAACTCTGCAGGTCTGACACTTCTGAACAGGAGTCCACTTTTATCTATCAGTTGAATGGGACTCTCTGGGAGGACCAAGGAAATTACCAGCACTTGCTTGCAGATAGCAGAACTTCTGTGTCTTTCTGTGTTTATCAAAAATGACAATGCTACCTACCATCACCTAGATTTTGCATGTTGCTTTAGGGTACTGGCACTCAGCCGCCAGCACACCTACCACTCCCTGGTGGGACACAGAAGCTACCTTGCAGGGGGATGCAGGGTCCTTCCAGAGTGGATTTGATTTGAAGCAAAATTATTTAAACCCGACTTTCAATCACAACTCAGAAGGACTCAATGTAACCTCCTCTCTACAAAACCAATGCACTCTTTCTTGCTATGCTTTTCATTCATGTTTTTCACAATCTTCTTTCCCAGATCCCATCACCCACCATCCTCTGTTCACCGACACTTCCTGCATCTTTCAGGAAGAGAGAAGTAAGGGCTTGGCTTAGCCTACATAAAGCTACTGAGGAAGAACAGGTAGGGTTGCAACTCTAGAATCAGCATCACTCAAGGACAGAGCCTTGAAATGTTCCTGGTGTGTTGTGTTCCAAAAGAAAATCACATGTCCAGGTTTTGATCAAGGAAAGTGTTGGAAGTAATCCTGGAGATTTTAACTGGGCTTCCAAGAATTTCCAGCATCTTAAAGCTCCAGGAGTCGCTTCAGACAGAATTCCAAAATAGGCCGGTTTTCTAGATGAAAGATTAGACTGGGTACTTGGAGAAGCAGGAAAAAAAATACCTAAGCCATCTATCCAGACGTTTATGGTGCCTGATAAAACAGGTCCAGTGCCAAAATGGTTGGGCCCCATTTAAAAAACTTTTAAAAAATGTGTGTATGAGTATACTGTCACACAAAACACAGCTAGAATGTATAATTTCTCTTCCATGAGATCTTCGAACTATAACACATTTTAAATTGCATATATCATCACAAAGGGATTTTAAAATTAAACAAAAAGCCTCTTAACAATAACAATTTCAAAAACACTGTTTAAATACAAAAGCTGATTTAAATTTTAAAGTCTGATATCTTAAGCCAGGTGGAAGACTTGACAGAGGGAGAGTCCAAACCCTAGATGCAGAAGCCAAACCAAGCCTCTCTTCACAGGGCAGGTGCCTTTGGCACAGGGCTCAGACGTGCTCGGACCAGCTGAAATTTCCAAGCACGCCCGCATCCGTGACACTAACAACAACAACTTTTCCTTTGGAGGCCTTGCCCTCGCTTGATATTCTAAACTGGACCAGGGAGGACCCCACCCTGCAGCGGCACCAAGAAACATGCTGGGTGGTGTGCGGGAAGCCAGGATGGCCTTGTACTAATTTTGGCTCTGCCTGCTGAGTCAGGGTTGAGCCTGTGTCTGTGACTGTGTGTCTTCACGTGGTGCATGAACTGCTGGTTTTCCAGACAGGATCCAAAGAGGAACAGCCACATGTGGTCAGATTCAGAGCTACACAACTCATGAGACCCAGCGGGCTGCTAGAATGAGAGCTGCGGAATTAGCTGCAATCAAAAGAGAAAAATGTGCAGTCTAAGACCGCTTCCCCCCCCCCCACATACACACACAAAGTCAGAATATGCATCTGCAGCACAGTTAAGAGATTCAAGAAGTTGTAGTCCAGAAAGTAACTTCTTTGAGCTCTAGCCAGATTTCAGCTCCAGGGAGCTTTCAAGGCTCCTCATAACTCTTCTTCTGGCTCTCTGTGTTTAAATGGCACTTGGGCTGATCAGTTCTTCAACAAGAGGGTTCCCCTGGAAAGAGGACTGTCTTCCAGCAGCCCCTCAAATTGCGGACTATCCTCTGTAAAAGAAGAAATGCAGCCACCATCCCAAATCCTACAAAGTTAGGATGGAATGTATGTCATACTAACACAGTTAAGAGTTCTACACCTGCAATCCCAAAAAGAGCCTGAGAGAAGCGCATCAGCATCTTAAGAACTAGCCGCATAGATCCCAACTCTTCTGTGAAATCCTTCAGCAGCAAAATCCTGCCCTTCTTCCCCCTTCCTCAGGAACTGTGGCATCCCAAACCCCCCCCCCCACATCCACAAAAGATCCCTATCTGAAAGTAGCAAAGCAGAACTTCCTTCTTCCCCTCTGAGTGCTGCAACTGACTCATTATGCAAATCGACCCTTAAAAGGGCAAATTCAACAACCAGAAGGGTGTTGTTCTGACACCCTGTTGCAGCTTCTGCCTGGGGATGCTGGGCCTGCCTGTCCCTATGGGTGGGGGCAAACAGAGGCCACAGAAAGCATCTTCCGTCTGTTTTTGTTCTTGTTTGCACACCTGCCTTTCACAGGCAACAGTAATCGTGCTATGGGGATCAGGTTTCTTTCATTCTTTCACCGCCAGCAAGCCGGCTTGAAAGGAAATATCCTTTAGAGCATTTTGTGAAGGACAGCTAGGTGCCACAATTGAATTATTTCACCAGATTTCAACCAATCACGGTGTAAATCTACATGCAGTGCCATTTTCCAAAAAGTTATCCTCAGAGGAAATGGTTTGTTGTACACTCTTTAAAAATCGACCGGGGGTTGAGCCACTTTGGCAGGACTGGGGGCATGCAGTCACCCAAGCAGCTGCCACAGATCGCAGCAGATCCCGAAAAGGATGGTAATGACCCCAAAATATAAAACAAAATAAAAATGGAAGTTTCTGGACATCCAGTTTTAACTTTTATGTGGGGAGATTGTGGAATTCCTTCGCCAGCCTAAAATAAAAACATACACAAGCCTCCCACCATCACCACTTTTAAGGAAAAACGCACCACCACCCATTTTTAAATTGGGGACCCTCGGGTGGGCTGCATAAGTGCCTTTGGGATCTGCACGTAACTTTTTAGCTGCTGCAGATAAGTCCTAAACCCAAATCCCCCAAGGCCATCTTTATAAATGGCGAGAAAACCTCCCAAGCAGCCTCATTCAAACAAAAGCTCCATAGTTTAGCTTCACTTCGGTTCCTCTGGGCTTCACAGATTTCTTTTAATAAAAATGTTCCTACTGTACACTCTCAAAAACAAAAAAAACAGACTGGGTAAGTTTCCTGTACCAGACCACGGCACAGCTGGGCAGATTCAATTGTTAGAATAGTAAAACATCCTTGCTAGTACTAATTAAATCCATCTCCCCTGTATCTTGGGAAGGACCAAAAAGAGTAGGTTGGGGAGGTGAAAAGGAGGAAATTACTAATGGGAGTTTGGTTGTGGAACTTCTGGGGCGGGCTTTGCCTCCCGAGTGACTTCACCGTTCCTGCA